AAGTATAACCTGATGCTGCTTCATGAAATATTTGGTAAATGTCTGTTAAGTCTAGTTGCTCTATGCAGAGGTTTCTCTGTTGCGTTCTTGCTGGGTTTATCTATCTAGCCGGGGTAGTGGTGTGTTAAAGTTCCCAACAATTATTGTTATTAAATCTATGTGTGATTTGAGGTAAAGTAGCTTTTCTTGGATAAATTTGGGTGCTCCTTTATTGGTGAGTAGATATTTAGAATCATAATATCCTCCTGAAGGAGAGATCCCAGAATGAATCTTGACAGTGACCTTCTTTATCTTTTCTCATTGATTTTAATTTGAAGTCTACTTTATCTGATATTAGGATTTCAACTCCTGCTTGTTTATGGAGGCTGTTTGCTTTGTAGATTTTATTCCAGCCTTTTACTGTCAGAATATGTTTATTTTGTGGGCAAGGTGTGTCGTTTGAAGACAGGAAATAGAAGGATCTTGCTTTTTGATCAAAGTGGATAATCTAGTTGCTGAATTGGAGACTTAAGTCCATTAATACTGAGAGTTGGGACTGAAAGGTATTTGTCTACGCATGACACTCATCCATTTTTTGTGTGTGTGTAGGGGAGCGGTGCCTTGGCTGTTCTTGTCGTAATTACATAGTTCTCTGTTTGTGGACTTCATCATTGGGTATATTTGTTCCTGTTGGTGTTCGATATGCAGAATGTATTTGAGGATTTTTTGAAGAGGTGCTTTGGTAGTGATATATTGCTTCCAATTTTCCGTGCTGTGGAAGGTTTTTATTTGTCCTTCTGCTATGAATAAGAGCTTAGCTGGATAGATTATTCTTGGTTGGTAGGTATTTATCTTTAGGGTGTGGCATACCTCTTTCCAGGCTATCCTTGCTTTTCTGGTGTCTGCTGAGAAGTCTGAGGTGATTCTGATTGGGTTACATTTATATGTGATTGTTCTCTTCTCCTTGGCAGCTTTAAGAATTCTTTCCTTAGTTGCTATTGATCCAGAAGAGATTATAATGTGGTGGTAGGATGATCTGTTCTGGTGTGGCTTATTTGGGGTTTTAAAGCTTCTTGTATCTGGATGTGCCTGTCCTTTTGTATATTTGGGAAGTTCTCTGCTAGGATTTTTCTGAATGTATTTCCTAATTCATTGGTTTCCCTCTCCAGGCCCTCTCGTACACCTTTTAGTCTCAAATTAGGATTTCTTAATGTCTCCTGTATTTCCTGCAATGATCTGTCATGCTTGTTGGTTTTGTTATGAATATCTGTGTACTATTTGTCTCTGGAGTCTAAACTGTCTTCTGCCGCAGAGATTCTTTCTTCTGCCTCCTCCATTCTGCTTTCAAGGCTTTTTAGTTTGCTGTTCATCTCCTTTCCTTTTTGCTGGTCTTTCTTAATGGTGGCCAGCTCTTTATTAAGGTTTTCTTTTAAGTCTTGAATAGATTGCCTTATCTCTCGGAGTTGGTTTTTGGACTTCTCTTTCCACTCTTTTATCTGGGTTTCTATCTTTTCATTAGACTCTTTCTTCTTCTTTTGAAGTTCCTTTATCCTTTTATTTGTGGAGGCCATGAAGTAATCTATTAACTTCTGGTAGGCCTGGTCACCTTCTCTTATAGCCCTAAGCAGGTGTCCAATTTTTCATTCAGCAGATTTATCAGCCATGCTTTTAAAATAGCTTAAGTATTATCATCTAGGTCATTCTGGGACACTCTGTAGCTTATTTACATTGAGATGGTGTTGGGGTTTGTTGATTGGCCATGTTTCCTTTGTTTCTGCAGTTAGTTCTACCCATTTGGAGATAAGAACTACACGGGTATGAAGGTAGGACAGTCTTTTAGGGCCGGAGGCAACCAGGTGTCATATAAATATATAGATCTTAGGGGTTCAGTATTATGGGTAGGTGTTTCCCTATTTAGCTCTCTTTTTCTTTGCTTGGAGGGGGATGTTGTGGCTCTGAGGTAGAGATTGCATATAGTTGCAACTTTTGAGAAGATGTACGATTGGCTGATAAGTAGTCTGCATCTTAGAGGTAACAGGATGTGCCCTTTGTACACGGACACAAGAGAACCAAATCTAAGTTGGGTCAGATAGAAACCGTTAGGGATCAGTGGACTGGAGCAGATGAAAAAGAGCAGGGTTAGGATTGGAGAGATATAAATTTAAGTTCAGAAGAAAATTTGGGTATAATGATAGTAGAGGGGTAAGAACTGCTTAGAGGACAACTATATGCAGTAGAGGCTTTGTTTCTGAGGGTAAGAGGTAGAAAATAATTCGAAGAAATGTTATGTAGGGAACTGCTTAGAGAGCTAGATAAAGTTAAGAAAAGAAGGTATATATAGATAAGAAAAAAAGTTATATGTAAGTGTATTTGGAAAAGTTGCTGAGATTAGAGAATGGTTTATTCAAAGAGTATTGGGATGCCACTTAATCTAAGATAATTCCTGTAATTTTTGTTTACATACATAGAAGGAGGCCTTTCTTTGTGTATACAACTAAACAGGGTAGCTCTGATGGAGTAGCATTATAATGTGGAGAGAATTGAAAAGGGAATTGTAAGAGGAAACACAAAATAGAAAATAAGGAAATTGAAAAGTGGAAGAAAAAAAACAATTAATAATGGAAAATAGAAGATTTAAATGAAATAGAAAATCCTAAAAAACAATATACAAAAGTAATACAGAGAAATAAAAACAACAAAGATCAGATATAGAAAAAACTTAGAGAGTGAGTTTTTCTGGTTGTTTGGGGAGCTTGAGTCTCTATGTATTCCTCAAAGCCAATTACTGATAAAACTGTATGCTTTGCTATAGTCTACTTTTCTTTTGGCTTGGTTGGGACTAGACAGATTTTGATGAGGGAGAGTTACTGCTATCTAGAGTCCCACTCTAGAAAAGGCACTGTGGCTGAGATGGTAGAACACTAGCCTCGAGTCGAAGAGCTCAGGGACAATGCCCTTGCCCAGAATTCAAGCCCAATGACTGACAAAGAAAATTCACAGACTTTCCTTCCTAGGCTGCCCTGGGGCAGCTGGGATCCTCCTGGAAGATCCAATGGAAGCATTAGTGCTAGCACCAAGCAGGGCATACTGTTTATTCTGGAGTATTGGTCCAACTATTTCATGTCTGACACAGTGGTCTAAAAAAAAAAAAACCCTGACCCACACTTATGCCCTGCTGACTAGGAGGTTGAATCTAATACATGCTGTGGTTCACAAGATTGGAGGAGGTAGGTTGTGTCAGTGTCTTCTTTCTCTATCCTAAAATAGTTCCAGAGGCACAATCTGGACCCAAGAGCAGAGACTATAAGCATTTCCCAACCACTTGTCTCAGTTTATGTTCATGATTCTGAGATTTAACTTTAATTCTCTCCCTCCATGCAATGTAGGAGGGTTTCTGTCCATAGAGAACTATTAATATTAACACTGATGATGGTGAGAAAGAAGCCAGCTTCTGTCCACAATTTCTTACACCTCCTTTTCTGTTGTTTTGTTCTACTAGAGAAGTACCTTCTGGTCCACACCACTTGACTCAGATGTGTTCTTTGTTGGGTGGTGCAATCTTCATGTTCTATCTTCCTTGGCTGCCATCTTGCTCTGCTTCTTGGGAATCCCCTTGAATGATATTTTCTGAGTCAGCTTAGTGTGCCTCTACCACATAACATGAACTGTATTTCTTTGTTTTCTTTAATTTTCTCACAAGGCAAGATTAACTTCTTTGCAACAGGGTGAGCCATCTGCAATCGTCTGGCAAGTGAGCACAGAGACAAGGTAGCTTGTTTTCCTATTTAGTACTAATACAGCAGGCCCTGCCTCTCTGCTCATACCTCTGCTCATACGGGTTGAACTTGGGTAAACAAGCTGCTCCCAATTTGAATTATATTTCTTAAGAGTTTTCTCAGATGCACAGCTAAGTCAAGGTACTTAATGACTTGGTATGTGAGCTGGGCAAGCTCTTATGTCCCAGATGACACCAGTGTTTTTCACATATCCATATATTCCAGAGAGGAAAAATCAGCTTGCTCATCCCCCCACCCCTTTCTACAATCCCAGAAGAATAGTCATCTCGTGTATGCTGATCAAGGCCCATTCAGGAGCTCTCCTAATTGTAATAACTTGTCTAAGAACCCAAATTATAATGTCATCCTGTTGGAAGATAGGATCTACATATACTACTGTGTAGAGAGAAGCATTTTATTCAACAAAGTCATGAGATTTGCAATTAATCATTTGTAATACACATATACACACCAAATTTTTGTGACCTGTGTGCAGGATAAACTTACAGAAATACCAATTACTTCTGACCTTGGTGTTAGCTGTTGAGGAGATCAACAAGGATGCCCATCTGTTACCCAACATGACTCTCGGGTTTGAGATCTATAATGAGAAAGTCAAAGATACTGATATGTTACAGAATCTTCTCATCTGGCTGTCTGGGATGAATACAAACAGCCCTAATTATAATTGCAGAAGAGACAGCAAAGCTTTAGCAGTACTCACAGGAACCTCAACCACATCTGTCCCAATTGGGACACTGCTAGACCTCTACAAACTACCACAGGTGAGGCTGGAAGGGGTGGGCAGATGTGAAACCATGTTCACATTGACTATGTCCTCTACAGGCTGAACAAAAAACCCTCCAAAATGCATGATCTCACAGGGAAAAGACTGAAAAAGTGAGTGGGGCATACACATTTTCTTTGCTGCAAAAAAAATATAAAATATAAAAAGAAGTTTTGAAGAAACTAAAGGATAATCCAAAGCTCTAAGCCTTATCTGTACATTTTTACAAAGAGCTTGGAACATGGGAAATGTATTTGCAAATGGGATAAGCAAACTTTTGTTGTTGTGTAGTTCACATCAGTACCGAGATTTACCTATGACCATCCTCTTCCTGGGGTCTGTGTTCATTTTTTTCCCTGTAGTTCACATTTGGGACATTTGATCCTCTCCTGAATGTCCTTGGAATATTCGGTACTGTCTATCAGATGGCTGCCAAGGACTCAGCTCTAGCTCTGGCTATGGTCTCCTTGATGCTTCATTTCAGCTGGACATGGGTGGGACTGTTCATCACTGAAGATGACTATGGTGTGTGGTTCCTCTCCGAATTGAGAGAAGAGTTGTACAAAAATGGAGTCTGTTTGTCCTTTGAGACCATGATCACTTACACTGAACTTGCAGATTTATCAAATGATTTATGGATGCATCGCCAGCTAATGGAATCCTCAACCAATGTGATTATCATTTATGGGGACAGTAAATTTCTACTAAGCGTTATTCTTAAATTTGGGCACTTTTTAATTACAGGGAAAGTCTGGGTCATGAACTCACCCTATGATGATGTGAACATTGGTAGATATTTTCTGCTTGATTCTTTCCATGCTCCTCTCATCTTCTCTCACCATCATAGAAACACTTATGGGTTCACCAATTATATTCTGACAGATACCTTGTCCAAGAACTCAGGAGATAATTCCCTTCCCAAGTCATGGATTCAGTCTGTTTATTGCCTACTGATTAAGTCTGACTGCAGAGACTTGGGGCACTGTTCCTACAATGCCACACTGGATTGGTTGCTGAGGCACATTTTTGACATGACCATGTCAGAAGAAAGTTACAACATCTACAATGCTGTATATGCTTTGGCCCACGCCCTCCACCAGTTGTGTCTTCATCACATGGAAGAACCACCAGTGCACAATGGGAATCCAAGGGCATTTCTCTCTACACAGGTAATGGCTTTGCTTTTGGGTGACCTACACTAGGTATGCAGACTTTCTGTAGAAGCTTTCAAATCAGATGGAACTAGTTCGTCTGGCTTCATTTTGTAATATACAAGAGACACTAGGCCTGTTGTGGTCTCAATGAAATGATTGTAGAGCTTGGAAGACAATGTTCTTAAAGAATGCTGCATTCGTGACAAGGAAGTGCTCTGTCTTCTGACCCCATCTGCACTAAATGTGGAAAAAAGCCGTCCCCTTTCCAATACCATATTTCCATATTCACTTTGTACCTTTTAAAAATAACTAATCGAGGGTGACTAGTTCTTGAAAAGCTAAGATTGTCTATACACAAGGAGCCCACACCTGTGGCCTACCCCTGAATACAATTAACCCAAAAACCCAGACGTTGAGTTGTGGCTGAAATGATAGAATTCTTATGTTGAAACTTAAAAAAAAACACCTCATGATTAGTGCCTAGGCCTTGAGTTTGAGCTACAGGACAGGATACACACACTCACACATACACACACACACACACACACACACACACATACACACACTGATACCCACACACAATGAACTAAGTCTTGCTTAAGATAATCTTTCATACTTGCCATAAATACTCTATGATTCTACTTAGTTCATTATTTACCTATATTTCAGACAGACTCTCTGATCAGAATCATAAAAAAAGTGATTGGAATTCACTTTAGAGTGGTGATTGAGGTCTGTCACAATATAATTCATTGTTTGGTTGGATGTGGCTGGAGTCTCATTCCTTTAAAAATGAGTTTCTGCATCCCATCCTGGATAATTAGGTTTTAGAACTTGGTAACACTTTAGTCTTCTGTGAGCCTACATTTGATACAATTGATTGGATTATGTGGTGGGAATTGAGGCTAATCTGTGAGGTTCTGTGATAACTCTGGGAATCACTTCACCATACTATAATGTCTCTTTTAGCTGCATCACTTTTTGAAGAAGATCCAATTTATCAATCCTGTTGGAGACCAAGTGGTTTTGAATGAGGAAAGGAAATTGGAGGCAGAGTATGACATTATGAGCTTTTGGAATTTTCCTAAAGGTCTGGGACAAATGGTGAAAGTTGGCAAGTTTTCTCCATTTAGACCATACAGTCAACAACTGATTTTGTATGAAAATCTGATAGAGTGGCCCATAGGAATTACCAAGGTGATTTATTTGTACTTTTTGCTCTCTCATTTTTTAAAAACTGTATTGTTAGTATGAAGTAGCTATAGAAAGAGCTTAGAATTCCCTTAGTGACGTTATGAGTTCAAGGCTTGTCCACAAGGTCACCACACCCTTATTTCTTCCCCGTACTTGGTCTTTTCTAACTGTAATACCATGATCTATTATAAATAAGCAATAAGCTTATCCTGTTTTTAAGCTTGTTCAATAAAACTATGTCTCAGTGATGGACATTTCAAAACTTCCTGTTTCTGAAAGTTTCTTATTAACAGATTCATGGAGGGAATGTGAGAACTCTTCATTACCATTATGTTGTTATATATTTGCATATTGAACATCATAAAAGTTAAATAACACCTGTGAATCATCTTTCCAGCACTGTGACCAAATATCTGAGGGAATCAAATGAGAAGGCAGAAGGGCTTGCTTTCCTTCTTTCTGGAGATTTCAGACTGCGGTTTGGTAGATTGTTGATTTTGTGTCAAGACAGGATGTAATGAAAGGAGCATCTGCCAGTGAAGTTCACCCACCTCATGGCAACTGGGATGCCAAGGGGGAGAGATGCGAATGGCCCTGGGTACAGCAGCACCTTCCAAGCAATTAGCCATGCTTTAGAGTGTGGGTTTGAAGTTTCCCTGATTGATTTTCCTCTCATGTTCTTATTCATCTATTCACAGATGAATTAGAGAGAAAATACATCATCACCACAGTACAAGAATGGGATCCAATTTAAAAAAAAATTGGATACAAGATTTAATTTCCATTTTCCAATTTCCTAGAATCAACATGTTAAAGGCTCCATGTCTTCCTAATAGCATGAGGGGCTGGGTGTCGAGGTCCCCCATGTTCTTCAGGTCATGTTAGATGAAACTGTAAAATGGTCAATCAATTCATTGGCTGTATTTATATAAAGATTATGTGTTTTGATCAACTTATTCCCCCATCACTGGAGTGTTTGGGAGGTAGTTAAAAGATGAATAGTCACTAACATTCATCTGAATGGTCTCAGACTCCTCAGTCTGTGTGCAGTGAGAGCTGTGGTCCTGGATTCAGGAAGGCCTCTCTGGAGGGAAATGCTACCTGTTGCTTTGATTGTACTCCTTGCCCAGAGAACGAGATTTCTAATGTGACAGGTGAGTCTGTTCAGAGAAATTCCACACCTCTCCTTCCTAACCTTCAAGCCAGTGGAGTGATCTAGTAGCAAGGCAGGAAGACATGCATGTTCATACAAAATTCCATGGCTACTGTTAGCCATATTTCTCCTTAGAAGAAGCAACCCAATGGTTCTCCATTATATACCTGATTGTATTTTTTAATCTACTACAGGCTTTATCTTGAGAACATCTCTGTTCCCCTCTCCTTGGTCACATTTTTTGTATTTAAAGAAAATATAAAAAGGAAAAAAAGAAAATATCAAGTACCAGTTGTTGATCTTTGAAATGATGTGCAAAAGGAAGAAACAGAAGAAATAATGCAGAAAAGAAGTAAAGAATAACAGAAAGAGAGAAAAAGAGAAGAAAAGAAAGAAAGAAAAGTGGGAGTGAGAGAAGTAGGAGGAAGAGTGGAGGTAGGGAGGAAAGGAAGAAAAGAAGGAAGGAATGGATGGGGGAAGGAAGGAAGGAAAGAAGGAAGAAAGGAAGGAAGGGAATAGAAGGAGAAGGAAAGAGATAACCAGAAAAAAGAGAAAGGGAGGAAGGAAAGAAGAAGAAATGTGAGAAGAAAGAGAATGCACTGAATGTATTTTGATATAGAGAGGTAGTCTACATGGTAGTGAAAGCAATACAGGTCAAATGGTGGATCAGGAAAAGGAGTTGCTTAAATGAAAGGGCATGAGAAGAAAGAGAAATTCTTAAAACAGATTAATAGTGATTCTCACTTCTCACCAGACATGGAGCAGTGTGTGCGGTGTGCAGATAATCAGTTTGCCAGCACCCAGAGAAACCAATGTCTGATGAAATCTGAAAGCTTCCTAGCTTATGAAGACCCCTTGGGCATGGCTCTAGCCTGCATGGCTCTTTGCTGTTCTGCACTCACAGCTGCTGTTCTTTGGGTGTTTATCAAGCACCAAGACACCCCCATTGTCAAGGCCAATAACAGGATCCTCAGCTACACCCTGCTCATCTCCCTCATCTGCTGCTTCCTCTGCTCCTTGCTTTTCCTTGGCCGTCCACATACAGTCACCTGCATCCTCCAGCACACCACATTCGGAGTGGTCTTCACCATGGCTGTTTCCACTGCCCTGGCCAAGACCATCACTGTGGTTGTGGCCTTCACACTCACTACTCCAGGGAGAAGGACAAGGAAGAGGCTGGTGTCATGGGTTCCTAACCTTATCATCCCCATCTGCACCCTTATCCAGGTGACTCTCTGTGGCTTGTGGCTGGTAACAACTCCTCCCTTTGTGGACACAGATGTGCACTCTGAACATGGCCATGTCATCATCCTGTGCAACATGGGGTCCCTCACTGCCTTCCACTGTGTCCTGGGATACCTGGGCACCCTGGCCCTGGCCAGTTTCATGGTGGCTTTTATGGCCAGGAACCTGCCTGACACCTTCAATGAGGCCAAGTTCCTAACCTTCAGCATGCTGGTGTTCTGCAGTGTGTGGCTCACCTTCCTGCCTGTTTACCACAGCACCAAGGGGAAGATCATGGTGGCTGTGGAAGTCTTTTCCATCTTGGCTTCCAGTGCAGGGCTTCTTGGCTGCATATTTGCCCCCAAATGCTACATCATCTTGATAAGACCTGAGAGAAATTCTCTGTCCAGGATCAGGAAGAGATCACATTCTGGAAGAAACAAACATTAAGATGAACCTAATTGTTGCCTAGAATGTTTAGAGGCTCTGAGAGCAATCTGTACCCATTTGACAGTTAAATCTCAATTGAATACTTTGACTAAAGAAGTTACTCTTATTCATTCCTCTGATTATGTTAGAGTCATAGAAAATTCCCAACAAGTCCTCTTAAATTGCATTCTAACTTGGATATATTATGCTTCTTCCAGTGTAATCTGCCTTTTATGCTATCATTCTTTCTTGTGAGTACATTATCTACTGTGCTTCTTCCTTTCTATCCTGTCTGTTATTCTTCCTACCTATACTATTTTGCTGCTTGTACATCACTATATTTCTAAGGCTAGTAGTATATGAATGTTAAGTTGTCGAATGTTTCCATGCTTTCATTAAGGTAACTCCAGTCCATTCTCTGACTTAGCTGTGTATTTCTGCTCACATATTTGCTTTATTTCTATTTTCTTTTTTGTACATTTTTTATTGTAAAAATACTGTACAGAGGGGTTCCAGTTACATGAACAAGGTAATGAGTACATTTTCTTTTTTTTTTTAATTTTATTTTATTTTATTTGAGAACATACTGTACAGAGGGGTTACAATTACATGGGCAGGATAATGCATACATTTCTTACCAAGCATTGCAGCCTCCTCCTTTGTTTACCCTTCACCTCCCTTCCCAGCCTCCACCCTCCCCCCCACCCAAACATACTCCCCCTCCCCCCCCACACCGACATTGTAAAGCTGGTTTTGAATGAGTACATTTTCTATCAAACATTGTTGCCCCCTCCTTTGTTTTTCCCCTACAATCCATTCCCTCCCACCTCCAGAACTACTCTGACCCACCCTTGCTGAAGATGTAAAGTTCTGTGTGAGTCTTTTTTCTTTCTTTGTTCCTCCCTCACGGCATCCCCCTGTTTTCACTGTGTTTGATTCCAGTGCCCTGGATCTTCTATATACATTTCTCTAATTTGGGGAGGGGAAGGGAAAAAACAAAATGCAAAAGGGTTAGAGTTTGACACATTGTAACAATGAAATGCACAAGACACTGTGTAGCTCACATATTTTATATTTTGGTATATTAGTGAGTATATTTTTTAGAAAATCTCTCATTTTCTCCCTTCTTTCCTTAAGAATTTTAGAGCAGAATGTTTATCTGCTCCAGTTTCCCACAGGAATATACAGTTTATTTTTTTCTGGAAGAAATGTGAGGGCACCAAAATAACTAGAGTTGTCCAAATGAGCAGTGGGAGCAATAGTTTGCTTATTGGTCATTATTTCTCATTGACAGCCAATGATAAAGATTACACAATTGACCCAGCAAAGCCTTGACATCCCAGTCCCTAAGAATCCTCAATATCAATGGAAGGAGAAACAGAATCATTTATAAGAAGAGAAAAAGCTCCCCAAAGAGAGGACAAAAACATTAGATAGGCTCAGACTCCATATCTCTTAATGTTCTCTATGATTCTATGAAAACAAGAATGATTCAGAAGAGTCCCTTAAGAAATAAGAAGTGTTGAAGAGCTTGAAGTGGGAATATTGTCAGGCCACCACTGCATTGTATAGTCAGGAGGAGTCCAAAGGGCAAGCAAAATCATGTTTCTGAGTCCAGAGATATTGACATCATTTAATGCAGTAGCTGTGGCTCATTGGAGTGACATCACCCATGCATGAATGACAGAGACACACACAGCACTATCTCTAAGTCTGCTGGGCTATTGCTGGAAAACAGAAAAGCATCTGCACAAAGACAGAAATGTCTGGAAGCCAAACAAATTATTCCCAGTTTCAATGACTCAAAGAAGAGAGGGTTCTCAGTTCTATATAGGTGTAATGACTGCTAATTTTGGACTAATATGTATTCAACACAGGAACATTAATGAATTTTTCTACCATAAAGCTTTAATGAGAACCAAAACAGCCTAACTAAACAAAACAAGTGAGTGTTAGACTGTCATGTCAAATGTCTATATCAACCTTTTGAAGACTCTGATCAGTTGCCCACTAGAGAAACAGGAACAAGGAAACTTCAAATCTAATAAGTGTTTGCCCTTTATTAAGTGTAAACTTACCATTTTATGCTAATAATGAATAGCTAGAAAAAATAAATAGCTACTTGTCCTTATATTATACATTCATCCTACTCCAATAGTAAAGAAGTAAGCATTAAGTCATTTCTAAGGAAAGAGTTTAAGATACAATGGACCTGTTCCTGGGTTCTTAGTGAAATAAAATGGGAGTTTACCTTGTCAATGGGGACAAACTAACAGAATTATCCTAGTCTCATGCCTTATATCCATAAGCAGCAAGGCCAATGCAAACACGGCTGTAACAGTGTGTGTCTGTATACTTACGAGCTACATTAAAATTGTTCACAATTTTCTGAGCACCTATGCCTCAGACCTGTAAACTTCATTCCTCAGAGAGCTGAGATGTGAGTATCAGGGTTCCAAGCGAGCCTGGGGCAGGAAAGTTCATGAGTCTTTTATCTGCAATGAACCAACAAAAGCCAGAATATATCTTTGGTTCAAGTGGTAGGGCACTAGTTTTACACAAAAACAATGCTCAGGAAAAACACCTATTCCTTGACTTCAACTATCACAACCAGCACCCAAAAAGTCCCCATAAGAGCACAAGGTCACTTTCATTTTTCTAGTTGGTCTTGATGTAAATTCAATTTCAAGTACAGAAAGATGAAGCATATGAAATAAAAAGAGCAACACAGAAAACAGTGGTCATAGCTAGGCAAATAAGAATCTCCAAATAATATCATTGATGCTGTTTTTATAACTGAGGTCTAGACCTTTAATATCATTGTGATAGTCACTTTGCAGCACTCAGAAAGAGTTTACGATAATACATGTATTGCAGTTTGGGGAAGAACTCAATAGGAAACAGAGCCAGTACTGTATAGGTAGAAAGAAAAAAAATTGTTTTGGTTTCCCATTTTGGTAATTAAACACAATTAATAATCTATAAACCATGGTCAATTGTGGCAATCACACAAGTGCTGAAATAATTTTTACTGCTCTATCCTACCATCTGGCTAGCCAAAACCATTATGTCGGTATTTATAATTAAGAGGTGATCATTCCAAGACACTTCACTCATCAAATACATCTGTACTTACTGGATAGAGCTGCTGCTGTCTTTAGACACTACCAAGGGGTAAAGAACCTAGGATGGGGAGTGGGAACCAGATGGTGATGGGACAGTAGGGAAACACCACAGCTCTCTCCAACAAAAGAGAAAGTTCGAGTTCTAATGCTTAATTTCCCCAAGCTTCCAAGAATAACAAAAAGATGAAAATTCAGAGAAAAACATGTGGTGGAAAAAAACAAAAAAGAAAGAAAAGGAAGAATTTCAGAGAAGAAAAGTGTGAAGACCCCTCCACAAACCTTTACTAGCTGCATGGCAAAGTGCCCAGCTATGGCCCGACTGGCCCTGCGGGGACTGCCGAAGTCCCCAGAGACACAAGCGGTTGTCTACAGATTACCTGCACAGAAGACCTCTGAGGTACATGTGCTGGACCCGCTGATCCTGAGGAATAGAGAAATCTCGGAGCTGGGAGCTTGCATAAAGACCCCTCCCCCAACCCTCACCCATAGAGCAGAGGGGCTCCATCCCACCAAAACCACTCAGTCCCATGGCCCCGTGGGGGGAACCCCAGAACTACAGGGGTTTGCCCGCAGAATGCCAGTGTAGAAGACTTGTAAGGTATTGGTGCTGATCCAGAGAGCACAAACAGAGACAAACCTCAGGGTTCAGAACCTGTACAGAGACCCCTGCCTCACACCTCCACCCATGGCAACCCATGGTATGCACAATCCAGCCTTTGGCATCCACAACCTGCAGCATTGACACAAACAGCATCAATAGACATAGAGATAGAGGTGAAACACTGAAACAGAGCCACTAGTGCCCAGTCCAGTCCACAAGCATCTACACTGAATCAGATTGCAGAGGCAACCAACGACCTACATAGCACAGAAACTACAGTTGGAGAGTTCCCAACTAGTTCCAGGGTGAGTAGCCCACAGGGGACAGCGTATCCACCCTCAAGGGAGACCAGATCTGGTGGAACCCCCAGATCTTGACCCAGACCCCTGCCTCAACACCTGGAATACAGGACCCACTAAAACTGGGAACTGTTTGAGTTGCCCACCAGCCCATGGAGCACATCCAGCCAGCCAGGCTAGATCAAGAGCACCCCTGGAAGGGAGCTTAAACACCTAAGCCAGGAACAGTGCCTGGGGATCACAACAGCTAACAGTGCAAGAAACCTGAACTATGTACTCCAGGCTGCGTAACACAGGCAGGATATCCAGCAGTACAGGTCCAACAGGTGTGCCACAGGAGGGTGACCAGGAGCCAGGGCCAGGACCAGGCCTGGTGATTGGGTGCCTGAGCAACATAACCAGCTCCTCCCGATTGAAGTCAGAAGTTGAACATATGCCTCAGCAGAGGGTGGAAAGCAGGAAACCACACCCCCTGGAAATCGTGCCTATGACAGCAAAAGACCTGTGTGTCCAGAGCAAGAGAACTAGAAGCCCTAACCCCACCAGAACTTGACCCGTATATCCAGGTTGGGAATTGAAAAACTAAGGCCACCAGCAAACATACAAACAAACTCAGAGAGAAGCGTTGGAGAAAGATCTACTAAGCAAATGCCCCCAGTTACAAATCAGTAGTAGCTATCTTGATATCTGACAAAATAAACTTTTCATTAAAATCAACACAAAAAGACAAGGAAGGACACTACATATTAATACAGGGAACAATCCAAGAGGAGTATATTATCATTATCAGCCTATACTCCCCAAACATTGGAGCACCAAAATATGTTAAGCAAAAACCCTCAAACTTAAAGAATAAAAATAGATCCAAATATGATAATACTATGAGACTTTAATACCCCACTCTCACCAAAGAGCAGGTCCACCAACAAGAGGATTGGGAAAGAAGCTACCCAATTATTAAGTGAGGCTATATTTGAAGCAGAACTAACTAACATC